TAGTTTCTATCTGAATTTGGAAAGAAGGATGTGAATACTTTTCTGGTTGTTCTCAAGCCAATTTACAGCAATTAGCAGATTTTTCCTTCTACTTGTTTTTTATTAAGATAAATTATATGCATTTCAGAACTACATGATTAATTCTTCCAATTGCTTTATTTTAACAAAGGGTATTCTTGTTTATGCAATGAAGATTCACTTTTTCTTCAATTTATGCATCAAACCGTTTTTCTAGACAATCTATGCTACTACTTTTCATTGAAAATAACCTATTACCTCATGGGATGACATTGGTTAAATGATTATTTAAATGTTTCATTTTTTACCAGATCCATCAACTGACATAAACTATGCAATCATGTTTCAAGGGGTTAAACATGTTACATGTAAAATGTAACATATTTTGGTCCTAGAACGAAACATAGTTGCATATTTCTTCCAAAAAAACACTTTGTTGCATAAATTAATGAAAGTACATTGCTATATCTTGCATTTAACCTTTTCACTAACACATTTCTCATGGAAACATATCAGTTCCAGACATCTCTACAATGGCTGCATCCTCTGCATGCATAGTTGGAAACGGTTTATCCACTCGCAAACACTTTCACCTCTCTCCAAGCTTACCATCTCTCGATAAAACTCCAAAACTAAGAGTCATAACAGCCTCTGTAGACAAAAAGCCACACGACCGAAGAGGCTTCCTCAAACTACTACTCGGAAACGCCGGAATCGGAATCGCAACTCCGGCTTTACTAACCGCCGGAAACGCCTATGCCGACGACCAAGGCGTTTCCAATTCCAGAATGTCATATTCAAGATTCTTGGAGTACTTAGACAAAGACCGTGTCAACAAAGTCGATTTATTCGAAAACGGGACAATTGCAATAGTTGAGGCGGTTTCCCCGGAATTGGGAAACCGGGTTCAACGAGTCCGTGTCCAACTCCCGGGTTTATCCCAAGAACTTCTTCAAAAATTTCGTGAGAAAAACATCGATTTTGCAGCACATAACGCGCAAGAAGATTCCGGTTCTCTGTTGTTCAATCTAATCGGGAATCTCGCATTCCCGTTGATTCTAATCGGCGGTTTATTCCTTTTATCCCGGCGTTCCCCGGGCGGAATGGGGGGACCCGGTGGGCCCGGGAATCCTCTCGCATTCGGCCAATCAAAAGCAAAATTCCAAATGGAGCCAAACACCGGAGTCACATTCGATGACGTGGCGGGAGTTGATGAAGCAAAGCAGGATTTCGTGGAGGTGGTGGAGTTTTTGAAGAAACCGGAGCGGTTCACGGCGGTGGGTGCCCGGATTCCGAAGGGGGTTCTTCTCGTGGGCCCGCCCGGGACGGGGAAAACTCTTCTGGCGAAGGCGATTGCGGGGGAAGCGGGGGTCCCGTTTTTTTCGATTTCCGGGTCGGAATTTGTTGAGATGTTTGTTGGTGTTGGGGCTTCGAGAGTGAGGGATTTGTTTAAAAAGGCAAAAGAGAATGCTCCGTGTATTGTGTTTGTTGATGAGATTGATGCGGTTGGGAGACAAAGAGGGACTGGAATTGGAGGGGGGAATGATGAAAGGGAACAGACATTGAATCAGCTTTTGACTGAAATGGATGGATTTGAAGGGAATACGGGTATTATTGTGGTTGCAGCTACTAATCGTGCTGATATTCTTGATTCTGCTTTATTAAGACCTGGAAGATTTGATAGACAGGTATGATTATGAAACTATGAATTGTTGTATTTTTGTCACATGTGTTAATTAATTACTAAACCTTAAACCTTAAAAATGCGATGTTAGGTAATGGTTGATGTTCCGGATGTTCGAGGAAGAACCGAGATCTTGAAGGTTCATTCTGGAAACAAGAAATTTGACAAGGATGTGTCACTTGAGGTGATTGCCATGAGAACACCTGGATTTAGTGGAGCCGATTTAGCAAATCTATTAAATGAAGCAGCTATTTTAGCTGGAAGAAGGGCCAAAACCGCAATTTCATCAAAAGAAATCGATGATTCCATTGACAGAATTGTGGCTGGAATGGAAGGAACCGTTATGACAGACGGAAAAAGTAAAAGTCTCGTTGCATATCATGAAGTGGGCCACGCCATTTGTGGGTATGTTGAAATTATTAAGTCCATTAAGTAAAAAAAAAAAAAATCAACCTTTAACTTTGAGTAATGTGGCGGATTTGGTCCTTTTGATGCAGAACTCTAACACCAGGGCACGATGCAGTGCAAAAGGTAACCCTAGTCCCACGTGGTCAAGCAAGAGGTTTGACCTGGTTCATTCCAGCAGACGACCCCACATTGATCTCCCGCCAGCAACTATTTGCACGAATTGTCGGCGGACTTGGCGGCAGAGCGGCGGAAGAGGTGATTTTTGGTGAGCCGGAGGTGACCACCGGTGCAGCCGGTGACCTCCAACAGATCACCGGTCTCGCAAAACAGGTAATCATCAAAATTACAATAAACAAGTAAATAACAACATACTTTCATCCATAATCTTAATTAATTAATTATTATTATTATTTTGTATTAAGATGGTGGTGACATTTGGGATGTCGGAAATTGGGCCATGGTCACTAATGGATGGGTCGGGTCAAAGTCAAGATGTGATTATGAGAATGATGGCTAGAAACTCGATGTCTGAAAGGCTAGCTGAAGACATTGATTCAGCCATTAAGAAGCTTTCAGACAGTGCGTATGAAATTGCATTAAGTCATATTAGAAACAACCGGGAAGCCATGGACAAGATTGTTGAGGTTCTTATTGAGAAAGAAACAATGGGTGGTGATGAATTCCGGGCACTCTTGTCGGAATTTACTGAAATTCCGGTTGAAAATAGGGTTGCTCCGGTGACTCCAAGTCCGGTGAGTGTATGATATAGGGTAGTTGAATTATAATGTGATTTGTATTATAAATGTTGATCATAGTTTTGGCTTTTGGTTATTTGGTGGGAAATTGTAATATTTTAACTACAAGTAGTTCATACATACACAAATTAAGTTTCTACTTGTAACCATAATGGTCAAAGTACATTATGTTTTATTTTTTGTACTTTTGTCTTGATATCAATATTAAACCTTCTAATCAAGGAAAATGTTTTTTAAAAACGGCCAAAAAAATATTAATTGGCTAGCATAGTATGCATGTAGTTAGAATGTGATAATAATTGAGAAACTTCGAGTCAAGACTTCAGACAAAAAATTAGAACCCAATAAGTAAGATATGTCTTCTATATGCAATGTGTATTGTTGGTCTATAACATGTCTGGACTCCATCCGAACACAAAGAGTCATTGCTAATGGAAATTAGGCTATATCAGGGTTCGACTCTTGGGTATGCCTTTGCTTGATATTGGATGAGATGTCTCCTGAATTCCAGATGATGTGCCTTAGTGTGTGCTTTTAGCTGATGACATTGTGTTTGTGGCCAAGTCTAGGATTGAGTTGAATGTTCGGTTAGACACCTAGAGAAACATGTTAGAAGAGAAAGGGCTTAGAATCAACACAATGAAAATGGAGTATATATGGTGCAATTTAGTGAGAAGATGATGATGAAGGGTAGATGTAAGTATAAGGGATCAAGATCTTCTCCTAAAGGAGAGCTTCAAGTATTTGGGGTTTATGTTCCATAAGGAAGGGGGGTGTGGAGGTACATGTCAACTCTTGCATAAATGCATGTTGGCTAAAGTGGAGGGTGGCGTTTTGAAGTTTTCTGTGATAAGGTCTCGTAAATTTTACATGGTAGCTTTTAGGAATGTCATGATGTATGGCTTAAAATTTTGGTCAAGAAAGAAGCATGAGAGGAATATGAAAATAAGAAATGGGGATGTTGATGTGGACATGTGGTAAAACTTTGCTCGATAGGATTCCAAACGCGATTAGAGTGGCACATATCACCCAAAATTTGAAGGAAGGACGATTGAGGTGGTATTGACATGTCCCAAGTCCAACGAAGGCTACCATCAACAACGGTGAGAATAGTAGAGTTATCATGGTTGATGGTGAGAGGAGGAAATGATGTCCTAAAAGAAAGTAAGAAAGTGAGAAGATATTGTGAGGCTATCATGGTTGATGAGTAGCGTAGCCTCCTTTATATGTTTTTGTCTTTAATCTTTATTGTTGATATATGTCCATGCTCATATGTGTGCATGTATTCTGATTTATTCATGTATATATTAATATATTTTACAGCACATATTGACTTATTCCTTCCCCCCCCCCCCCCCCCCCCCCCTCTTGTTCGCCTCATTTGCGGATTTACGGGTTCCTAAATCAATGTGTGTTTTATTATCTATTTATGTTTATGCATTACTGCAATTTTGTAGGTTTCCGAATCTAAAGGAAGGAAACTACAACTAGGGAAAGCCTATTGTAAGGATGAGGGGTTGATTCTTGAGATTCTAAGAAAAATGCTGAAAAGATAAGTTTTTTTTAGTTTATTAGTTCCTTAATGTGTGTTTTTAGGGAGAATAGAGCAAGTAAACAGCATTAACATCAACATTAATGAGATGATCACAATAATATGGGATACGGAGAAGATAGATGTAGCAATCATGTATGTCTCCACGAGATGGTAAAGCAATTGCTTCAAGCAAAGAAATAAGGATAGTAGAAATTACGTCGAGTCTTTAATGAAAATATTCATGTAATCACATTTTTGGCAAAGACCGAAAGATAGGAATCAAGTTTGTAAAGAAAGCAAGCCCATAACTTGAAGGAATTTGTCAAGTTTGATTTTGTCATAAATTGTTTGTATAATGTCGTATAGCAACTCTATTAACTTAAATTTGGTAAAATAAACTTTCCAAAGGTTAAGAAGGCTTACTAGGTTTCTTTTGATGATGGGGATAAAAAAAATCATTCCAAGCCTTGTCTTTTTGTACACACAAATGATGGAGAATGAACCTCTCCCTCTTCTGCCTTTTAGGTTTGAACAAAAAAATTAACTTTTGTCCCATTAACATCCGCACAAGTCAAGTTTCAATCAAATACAAAACCTCAAGTAGAAATAACCAATGACACTCAAAAAGTCAAAATTACATTTTCAAAACAAAAGATGCTAGTATACAATTGGATCTTACCAAATGAAATGTGTATTGAAGGTACAACAATCTACAAAACTAACCCTCCATAAACCCCACTAAAGTTTCCATTCATACCCCACAACACTCGAACCCATCACCCCACATGTCTATACATTTCCAGACTCCGCATAACAATAAAGAAAAATACAAGAGAATCCCCAACTTACCTTTCACATTTTCATCCATTTTTTCCACCATTGTCAAAACAAGACCAATATTTCCAACTTTATAAAAGAGACTCCAAGAATGAACAGCAAAGCCAAAATAATGTAAAAAGCTTTTTTCAACAAAGTTCATTTCAAAAGAGAAAAAGGAAACCTATTATTCACTCTCGTCATCTTCTGATGTGACAGGAGTGTCAGTGGCTTCTGCAAGATTTTCAAGCATGAGAATAACTTCGGATGTGTCATCAAGATAATATTTGGCTTTGCTAGGCTTCTGTCCAACTGTGCATGCAAACACGGTTGTGTTGACTGAAAGCATGTTTTTGGAAATTGCATTTCCAATAATTTCAAACATGTCTTCATCGGATCGATCATCACCAATGCAAAGAACAAAATCCGCTTGATTCCCGTTTTGTGCCATTGATGTAAAGATCTTCTCTGCTACCATACCTTTACTCGCTTCCTACAAACATTTAAAGCAAACAAACTTTAATAGCAACCTACTTACGTTTTTTTTTTATTCATACTACACCTTAAATATTGCATCTTTTGGTCCCTAAAAGAAATGTGGTTGCTTATTTAGGTTATGTAGCTGAAAAGTTAGGTGCTAGCTGATAAAAAATGATGTTTGGTAAAACTAGCTGGAATATGTAGAATCACATAAAAGGTCATGTAGAAGATTTGAGTTTTTTTTTATATAATTAATAAAGGGTATATTCGGAAGATTTTTAAAAAGGCTCACTCAGAGGGTGTTTGGGATTTCTTTTTGATCCTCAAATGACTTTTAGACGAAATGACTTATTGACTTATGGTGGTAGGAAAATGAGTTTTTAAAAGTGTTTGGATTAGTTTTTGTAGTGGGAAAAAGTCAATAAGTTGTTATTTTTAAAAAGTGTTTGTCTTGGATTTAAGGGTATTAAGGTAATATTGACTTTTACAACTCAAAAAATCATAAGGAGTTTAGAAAAGTTTTAAATTCTAACTTCTTAAAATCTCCTTTTTGAAGGGTTAAGGAGAAGTTGTTTTAAAAGTCCTTTTCTTTTGCCAAACGCTTTTTTTGACTTATTGACTTTTCAAAAAGCCAATAAGTCAATAAGTTGTTTTGAGATGAAATCCCAAACACCCTCTCAATAAGCTTGTTGAAACGCTAGTCTGAGTAGCTTTTTAAAAAAGTAAGCTTATAAGCTAATTTTTGGTTTGCCAATCATGTCAACCTAAAAAACTCAAAACATAAGCTACTTGTGGCGTATAAAAAACAACTTTGTTGCATAAATTGGGAAAAAGGTGAAATGTTGTTGCATAAATACACATTTAACCCTTGTAGAAACGTATCGAATGATTTGATTAATAGAAAACAGGACATGGACAATGAAATGGAAACATAAATAAATAAATGAATAAATACCTGTGGTTTGACTTCAACAATATATTGACCACTTTTAACAGCAACAGGTTCGTTTGCCAAGACACTTTCAAGATGATCAAGCATCTCTTTTGCTTGAGCAAATCCAAACCCTGGATCTGCATCTCTATATTGCCAAACTAAAGCACTTTCTTTAGTTTCAATGGAAGATCCATCTGTTGATTCTGTATATAGTTTCATCACAGGTTCAGCCATTTGCATCCATCCAAAATCCGTACTCTGTCCACAAGTTTCCCATTCTACATCTTGAGACCTCCTGAAAACACACACACACACTTAATTAAGTCAAGTAGAAAGTGGAAACAGCAAGTGAAGGGTAAAATAGGAAACACACCTCATAAAGTAGCCATGTTCAGCTGCAATTCCAAGCTTCTTACAAGGAGCAAGAGCCTTGCTCAAGCTTTCTCTACCTCTTCCACTAACAATAAAAACCGTATTATTTGCATCTCCAGAAAGTCTCTCAAGAATTGAGATAACTTGTCTACTCGGTGTCTTAATAATCGAATTCTGAGGCATAACAGTTCCATCATAATCCAAAAGTATCGCCCTCTTTTTAGACTTTATGTAAGCTGTCACAATATCATCAATCGAAAGCTTCCTAAAATTAGGATCCAAAGACACAACCCTAAAACCAAACCCTAATCCAATCCCCCAACATCTTTTCCTAAAATGATCTGCACATGTTCTTTCCATATCTTGCAAGAAGCTTCTAGACCAATACCCCACATCATGTGTACTCACATATCGATAGTGCTTTTCATGTCTCAATTGTTTTTCCGAATCACTCATCGATATAGCCTCGTTCATAGCCTCGGAAGTTGACTCAACATTCCATGGGTTGACCCTAATGGCCCCACTCAAAGAAGGTGAACACCCGATAAACTCTGACACCACCAACATACTCTTTTTCAACCCGCCCGAATCCGGATCCGGATCCGACCCGGAAACGCCTTGTCTACACACGATGTATTCATATGGAGTCAAATTCATCCCGTCTCGAACTGCAGTTACAACAACACACTCGGCTATGCTGTAGTAAGCTACCCTTTCGCCTACTGATAGAGGGGTATCTATGTAAATTATGGGTTGATACCCGGGCTTACCGAATTGGTCGTTGATACGTTTGCAACTTTCTTGTATCTCGAGTTGTATTTCGTCGAAATCTATTCCGGATTTACCCCTTGAAGGGTTTGCGATTTGGACAAGAACAGCTCGACCTTGCCATGATGGATGAAGCTTGAGCATTTGTTCCATGGCTAAAAGCTTCAAGTTTATGCCTTTAAAGACATCCAAATCATCAACTCCAAGAAGAACGGTTTTCCCTTGGAATTGTTGTTTGAGTTCACTGACTCTCCATTCTTTGTCTGCTAGTTTCATCACTGATTCGATTTGTCCCATGTGGATTCCAACTGGCATGATCTTGATTCCGACTGTTCTCCCGTAGTAATCTAATCCGATGTAGCCTCGTTTGGATTGATACTCCAATCCGAACATTCTACTGCAACAGGAAAGGAAATGGCGGGCGTAATCGAAAGTATGGAATCCAATTAGGTCGGAATTGAGGAGAGCTTTCAAGATTTCTTCACGAACAGGAAGTGTTCGGTAGATTTCAGAAGAGGGGAATGGACTATGGAGAAAGAATCCCATTCTTAAACGATTGAAACGTCTTCTTAAAAAGGTGGGTAATACCATTAAATGGTAATCATGAATCCAAACGAAATCATCTTCGGGGTTGATCACTTCGATAACTTTCTGGGAGAATAATTTGTTTGCTGCAACATATGCTTCCCAATTGGATCGATCGAATCTCCCACCATGATCAGCTGAAAATGGTAACATGTAATGGAAGAGTGGCCATAACTGTTTCTTGCAAAAACCATCATAAAACTTCTCGATTAGGTTTGGAGGAAGGAAAGTTGGGACACATCCGAATCGATCCAGTAAAACTTGAGCAACATCATCTTGTTCTATAGGATCAACATCAACATTCAAGGAACCGACATATAAAACCTCCATATCATCGGGGAAACCATCCTTGAGTCTGAAAAGCAATGAATCATCATCCCAAGTGAAACTCCATCCTTTATTATCAGGTCTTCTTTTAGCCTTTAGAGGTAACTGATTCGCCACAATAATCATTCTGTCCATTGAAAGCGAAGAAGGATTATCAGATGCAACACTGCTAGCTTGGTCGTCTTCAAGCTCGGTTATACTTCCAGGAACAGTCATTACTCTCGTCAGCTTTCTTCTCTCCTTTTCTCGCCCCATTACAGGGAAATTCCCTGAAGCTAACTCCAAAAGATTCGTATACGACCTCGACTGCATCTTTGCTTATTGCTCCAACTCAAAAGCCCTAAAGATCCCAACCCAAGCAGCTCGTGAAACCCCGCAAAAAAGAGCTAATTGCAATAAACACCTACAAGAGGAAACCCACCATCGTTTTGACTTTAATAACAAAAGGAACAAATAAGTTTACATCGCAATCGGATCGTGTGTTATATTAAAGCAGTATCTAGATTACAGAAAACAAGCTAATCAACCAAGATCGCGGATCATACGAAGATCAACATAAACAGCTAACAGTGTTTTGAGACGAATTGATTGAAATCAAACTCACTGAAATTGAATTGCGAGACTGACCTGTAGTAGTTCTGGATCTTTGGGACACTTTGGAACTCGATCTTCAAGCACGAATTGAGGATTTGAACATTAGGGTATGTGTGGGTTTGAGCTGTTGGGGGATGGGTAAAAGAAACATCTAGGGTTTGTTCATCAATAAAGTGTAGTTTTATATGAATGAATGATATGTACAGCCAATATAGAGAGAGATATGGGGGATATTCATCAAAATAAATATAATCCGTATTCTCAAATAAAAAAATCGGTGCTATGTGTTTCTAAATTTAGGGGAAATGATTTCCATTACAAAAAGGGTGGCATAGTGGAGGGGATACAAGTTTTGGCTTTTTAGCTAATAAAAACTTGGCTCTTAAGTACCACCAAATGTTATTCATTTAAAGTCATCTTTTAGAGAAATTTCAAACCAAAATAACAATGTCAGTCTTTAATGTCCTTTCGTGCCTCCAAGTCTAGAAAGAGATTTTGTGGCATGGCAAAAAGTATGTTTACCCGAAAAAGTGTGGTTTCATTCGGGATTAAAATGGCTAGCACTTTGTAAGATCATGGTGGTCGAAATAGATAGATAACAAATCGACCTTGTGGAATGGAATAATGTTCAACCGTACTATAACCATACTTGCCTCAACTATCTTTGTTCATCGAAATTTAACTCTTTTAGGTTTAGCATCCTAAAGTTGTTGAGATGGTTAAATATTTTGGTAAAAGTGTATCCAAATTTTGACGCTTTCACAAAATCGGTTTAGTATCCTACAACTAGTAGATGTTTAACGTTTTCTGGTAAAATCTTATCTCGCTTATAAGTCCTTGCTTCCGACGTAAGGCATTTCAATTAAATATGTTTGGATTAATGTTTGGTTATTCTAAGGCCAATCTGGTTTGGGATTGTGTCGTAATGATCGTCTCTTTATTTTAATCATTAATGAAATAAGAGTAGTAGTTTTCACTTTGTTAATGGACAACTTTGGATACCTAGCTTCTTTACCTTTAATCTATCACTTTAAAAGCATATAGATACCACTAAAGATGGAGAGGACACTTAGATCAACTCACAAACCTATGAAAAACAAGGTCTTATGTAACAGTGTGTCTCATGTCGATAAAAGATGATAATGGAAGATCTTTATAAGCCTTACTTTATAAGCTTATAATAACTTTTTCATCATTGTTTTAAGTTGATTTAGAGGTTATTCGGTGAGTTTTTTTAACTTTGAGCTTGGAGCGTTATAAATGATATTAGAGGTAATTACAACCAGAAGTTTAGTAAGTGGAGAGGTATGTAAATCATCAAGTATTGATTCTCGATGTGTAAGTTTCTGAATGTGTTATTTGTTGAACAACTATAATCCTTTAGTTGTATGTAAAACCACGTGTAAAATATTATCAGAAATGACATAAATATAGACCTTATATTGGCATTTAAAGGTAATCGGTGCATGCTACTCCCGATAAACAAACATGATACATAAATCTAATATATTGGACTGAACATTATCAGGTGTTACTACTTTGTAGTAAAATATCATTCTTGATAAACATACTACAACTTCAATAGTTTAGACCCTAATTAAGCTCTTATATGGAAATATGTTATCTTCCATTGTGTTATACCATTATGTAACACCCCAAAAAATCTTGTGGACCTTTTGCCTTGTTCATTTTCATGACATTAGTAACTTGTAAGATTATTATGTCATTATTGAGAAAAGGCATTACGAAAGTATGAAGCATTGTGATAATATTGAAACTACAGTGAATTAATGAAACTTGTTGAGTTTATATGATAATTGTGGCCAAAGTGTATACCTTAACTTAAGAATCATGGTGTAGATGTAAATGTGTCATATAATGAATTGGAATGAATATATA